GAGCCAGAGTGCAGGACAACCTGGCCTCAGTTCCTTTACCCCGACACTACTCTAGGTGGCTGCAGCCAGCTGCCCCCGCTCATCCCCTTGAATAGGATGGTGACGCTGAGCCGGTACCGAGGCTAGCTGGTTAGCAGGACTTTAAGGAATAAACAGACAGAGAAGACTGCCGCTCGGCCAACCTCTCAGTAAAGCACATTTGCTGTGAAGCGGGTATGTCCATTTCATTAGACTCAGCGGCCCAGGATTCAGGCTGACTTGCTTTATTTAAATCTATCTCCGAAAGCTTCCTAGGTGGGTTGCATTAGTTAACTGCCTGTCCCAAGACAAAACCTCGAGACAATATTTTGTGACAGGAAAAGTGTTTATTTTTAGCTCGTGTTTCTAAAGGTTCCAGTCCAAACCTGACCCAGGTCATCAGGCTTGGTGGCAAGCAACTTAAGCCCTGGAGTCATCTTACTGGTGTCTCCAGTTATGATTGAAAGATGCTGGCTCAGAACATAAGCCTCCCCTGCACAAGGTTTGGGCCTCCAGCAGGTGCGGCACATCTACAGGTGAAAATGTATGGCCATGGCCGAGCAGCTGGCTTTTGTCACAAGCCAGAGGGCACAGCCGGAGAGGACGAAGAAACCGGTGTGGGGAAGCCCCCATCGGAGGGCACTCCTCCTTGACCTGAACCTCATACAAGGACAACCTCCTCGGAGCCCACCACCTCCCCCTAGCACCACCCCGGGAAACAAGTCATCTAACCCAGTGGCCACTGCAGGACGCAATTCTTATTCAAGCCATGGCATGGGCAGATGGTGGAGCTTGCAGCCGTGAGAGGAAGGCTGTGTCCTCCCACCCCTGGCCTCACAGGTGAGCAGGAAAAGCCACGGAAGACCAGGCTCTGAGCATGGGGTTTTTCTACATGTTCCGACTGGCATTCACCAGGCTCCCTGTGGCTTCTGGCAGTGATGGAGAAGCAAATGAACCGGGCGGAGGGGTTCCCTGATGGCCGGATCGGTAGCATCGGTGTGATCTCCTGCCCATACCCAGCAAGTACTTGTGCAAGGTCATCAGATTCACTTCTCAAGGGAAGCACAACCTGTTTTCATTGTTTGTTCTTCTTTTTTATTTTTTATTTTATTTTTTTAAGTCTAGGCTAAGGCTGGGTGTAGTGGAATGCACCTAAAAACCCTAGCTACTCTGAGCCTGAGGTCGGAGAATTTTGAGTTCAAGGACAGCCTGGACTATACAGTGGGGTCCCATCTCAAAAATAAATAAAAAACAAACCAACTAAGCTACTAGAAATCAACCAATATGCTAATTATATGTAAATATGTGTAAAGGTTAAGTAACTCTGTAAGCTTATCTCCAATTAGGGTTTTTGTTTAGTTAAGTTTATTTATTACTTATTGTGTGTGTGCCCGGGGCATGTGTGTGGAGGTTAGTGGACAACCTGAACAACCTGAATCGATTCTCTCCTTCCGCTATGTGGGTCTGAGGAATCAAACTCAGGTCATCAGGCTTGGTGGCAAGCAACTTAAGCCCTGGAGTCATCTCACTGGCATCTCCAGTTATGATTGAAAGATGCTGGTATTTAAGTAAACAAGGAGCATCATGTGAAAGGAAGGGGCCTGCGGTTCAGTTATCCATGGAATTGTTAACATTTTTTTTGTCTGTTTGTTTTTTAAGTAATTTATTTATTTGTGTTTTATGTACATTGGTGTTCTGTCTGCACGTATGTCTGTGTGAGGTGTCAGATCCCCTGGGACAAGAGCTATAGACAGTTGTGAGCTGCCATGTGGGTGCTGGGACTTGAACCTGGGTCCTCTGGAAGAGCAGCCAGCACTCCCAACCACTGAGCCGTCTCTCCAGCCCCTGTTGGTTTTTTGAGACAAGGTTTCATTTATAGTCCAGGCAGGTTTCAAATTCATATGTAACCCAGGCTAATCTCACATTCACAAGCCTCCTGCCTCAATCTCTAGAGTACTGGGATTACAGATGTGAGCCTCACATTTGGCTGTTGATATCTGACAAGGGCTAAAAAGGGAAGGTTTTTTGCTGCAGATAAGGAAATCTGACCATTTAGAGATGAGTTAGCCACCCCCCTTCTGTTCCTCTTATAAAGGGGTAGCAGGTTGTGAGAAAATATTTGTGGTGTTAATAGAACCTTTATCGATTGGCTTCTGTGTACTAAGTGTTTTGCTCTGTGTGAGACACTTTACTTTCTTTTTAAGCTATAATATTTATTTGAGGAAGAAGATACTGAGCCCCAAGGAGCTTATATTAAATGGATTCAACAGAAATTTATGTCTCTCTCTTTTTTGTTTTTGTTCTTTTTTTTTTTCAAGACAAGATTTCTCTGTGTAGCCCTGGGTGTCATGGAACTCTCCCAGGAAATCAGATTGGCCTCCAACTGCCTGCCTCCTCTGCCTCCTGAGCGCTGATCAAAGATGTGCGCCACCATCGTCCTACGTATTTATTTGTTTATTTATTTTGCGATAAGGTCTCACTATGTATCTCCAGGTCTTGCTTTGAATTCAAAATCCCCCTGCTTCTATCTCCCATGTGCCAGAACTACAGGCACATATCAGTGCTATGCTTTCCTCTTTGTGTGGTTTTATCTCAGCTGTATGTATTCTGAAAAATGCATTTGTACTTTATAGGTAAGTGCTCTAGCAACCAGATCACATCCTCACCCATTTTTTTACATTTATAAAAAGATTATCCCTATATATATACATATATATACATACATATATGTATATATATTTCTTTTTTGTTTTGTTTTTGTTTTTTTTAAATATTTTATTTATTATGTATACAGTGTTCTGTGTGTATTCCTGCACACTAGAAGAGGGCACCAGATCTCATTGGGTGGTTGTGTGAGCCACCATGTGGTTGCTGGGAATTGAACTCAGGACCTCTGGAAGAAGAGCCAGTGCTCTTAACCTCTGAGCCATCTCTCCAGCCCCATATATATATATGTCTTTTAGGGTTATTTATTTCATGTGTCTGAGCATTCTGCCTGTGTGTGTGCGTGTGCACCACAGATGTGTCTGGTGCCTCCGGAGGTCAAAAAAGGCATAGATCCCTTGGAACTGGAGTTAGGGATGGTTGTGAAGCCATCATGTGGATGCTAGGATTGGGACCTCCATCCTCTTCAAGACAACAAATGCTCCTAACCTCTGAGCCACCTCTCCAGCCCCTATCTATCTATATCTATACCTATATACCTACATCTATATTTCTATAGATAGAGAGAGATATAGATTGAGACCATCTTCCTATATAGCCCTGGCTAGCCCGGTGCTTGTTATGCAGTTAGTCTAGGTTGGCCTTGATCCTGAGGCTTAAGGCTTGGGCACTGTCACTCTTGGCAGAGGGAGTCCTTGAGGCCTCATGACCCCGGTAGGAGCTCCATGCCAGGCACAAGTCTCTCATTCCGTGTGACTGACCCTGGCTTTGAGCATGGGTGGGGGTGAGCCTGGCACAGATGCTTGAGGTGAGATCCTCATGCCTTAACTTCCATGGTTCTGGGATTATAGGCATGTACCCTCCATCGTACCTGCAGATGGACAACCCCCTGGAACTTTTAGAAACTATTTTGTTGCTAAGATTTATTCTTATTATTGAGTGCCACTGACTATTATTAGCTCCTGTTGACGTTTGAATAATATTCCTGTCACTATCTACTACACCACCGTTTGTCAGTTCACTCTCCCGCTGGCCAGTGTCTGGGCTGCTTTTGCTTTTTTTGCAACTGTGAACAGCTGCTCTTGTACATATCTGCTGGTGTGTCTGTAGAAGAGTTTCTCTTGGATATATACATGCAATTCTCGGGTCAAAAAAAACGCATGTTTGTTGGTTTTTGCACGTGGTACCGTACTATGTATCAAAGGGTCTGTCTTAACTTACACTCTAGCCAGTACTTGTAACTTTCTGTCATTTTGTGTCCTCTCCCACACCTGCCCCAACATGTGCTACTAAGGTCTCTACCCTTACCCTTGATGTGTTTACCCTTGCTCCTGTCTGAGGATGCTTTCTGGAAGCAGCACAAACTCTCTGTTTCCCGGGGTTGACAGAGGTGACCTGAATCTAGAGGCATCACTGGGTGAGAAGCAACATACGTTACAGGTCATGAAGTCAGGAGACTTGAGGAGCTCCTGGAACATTATAGAGTCAGAGGGTGCTGTTTCTCCTGAGTCAGTCCCTCTGAGTGCCTGTGACCTCAGCATCTCCTGCTGAGTTAGAGTCCTTCCACCCACAGACACTGTAACATTTTCCCCATCCAACCTCAAACTGGATATTGCAGGACAGAAACACAACTGACCTCTTTCCTCCTCGGACCCCCAACCCCACTTTCAGCTTACCCTTCCTCTTGCTCTCTCTCTGGTTTAAAAGGGCAGGCTGAGGGTTTGGAAAGGGAGGTGCTGGCACGGGTTGGGGGTAGGGAACCCGGGGCTCGAGAAAGCCAGACACAGCAGAACTATTCTGTTCCAGAGCTGCAGGGTCCACAGATTCCAGTCCAAACCAGCCAATAGGAGAAGGCCCTCTAATCCTAGGGAACTAAAGAATTCTCTTCAGTTATTCAATTTCCCTGCTGTACCCCACTCCTTATCCCCACCCCCACCTTAACCCTGATAGAGTCAGAGGAGCCTGAGACCCCCCCCAGGAGCGAGCCTAGCCCATATCCTGCGAAGTGATCTCAACCTGAGTTCCAAGAAATTTGAGGAATGTTCTAAGCCAGATGTCAATAAGGACTATGAACCCCAACTTTGACATAGACAGACTGACTGTTCCAGTTCTCCATCCATGAACCCCATATTCCTGGCCCCCTGGCTCATCCCCCAGATGGGTAGGGAAAGGAAAATCCAGCCTCTCCATCATATGTTTGGTAATGGATTCAGACATCCACAGCCGTGAAAGGGTTAAGAGGCAGAACCAGTTATCTCAACCCGCCCCTCCCAGGGATTAAGAGTCCTCTATAAAGGGGACTGTCCACCCAGGCGAGTCCAGGGGGTTATTAGGGACCCAGGCACTGTGCCCACCCCCCACTGCCATGTGGGAACTTCGGTCTGCCTCCTTTTGGAGGGCCATATTTGCTGAGTTCTTTGCCACGCTGTTCTATGTTTTCTTTGGGCTGGGAGCCTCACTGCGTTGGGCCCCGGGACCCCTTCATGTCCTGCAGGTGGCTTTGGCCTTTGGCCTGGCCCTGGCTACATTGGGTGCAGACGGTGGGTCACATCAGCGGAGCCCACGTCAATCCTGCAGTCACTTTTGCCTTCCTTGTGGGCTCCCAGATGTCCTTGCTCCGCGCCTTCTGCTACATGGCAGCCCAGCTTCTGGGAGCTGTGGCTGGAGCAGCTGTGCTGTACAGTGTCACCCCGCCGGCTGTCCGAGGAAACTTAGCACTCAACACGGTAAGGGTGGGCTAAGGGGCGGGGGGCGGGGCGGGGGAAACATGGTGTCTTAATTGTTGCTCTAGCGCTTGCTCGTGTGTGTGTGTGTGTGTGTGTGTGTGTGTGTGTGTGTGTGTGTGTGTGTGTGTAGGAGCAATGAGTGCTTTGGAGGGGAAAGGAAGGCATAGAGCCCTCCATGAAGGGTCAAGGAAGTTGAGTTCAGATCGCAGCGTTCCTTCCAACTCTATTTAGGTTCTTTTGCTGTTGTTGCCGTGAGCTGGGGGATCTGGTCCCCACCTTCCTATGTAGCCAGAGATACTCCTCCTGCCTCTACCCTCCAAGTGCTAAGATTACAGGCACGCCCAAACACAGCCATTCTGTGTGGTGCTGGGAATAGAACCCCAGGCCTCGTGCATTCTAAGCAAGTAATACCAAATGTGCTTCATCTTTCTTCCTTCCTTCCTTCCTTCCTTCCTTCCTTCCTTCCTTCCTTCCTTCCTTCCTTTTTCTTTCTTTCTTTCTCTTCCTTCCTTCCTTCCTTCCTTCCTTCCTTCCTTCCTTCCTTCCTTCCTTCCTTCCTTCATTATGTACACAGTGTTCTGCCTGTATATATGCCTGAATGCCAGAAGAGGGCACCAGATCTCATTACAGATGGTTGTGAGCCACCATGTGGTTGCTGGGACTTGAACTCAAGACCTCTGGAAGAGCAGCCAGTGCTCTGAACCTCTTGAGCCATCTCTCCAGCCTCCTTTCAAGTTCTTAAGGCGATTTGTTTTACTTTATAGAACCTCAGTGTCCTCGCCCATGTGAGTAAGCACAAGCATTTCCAAACAGCAACCAAGACTGTCAGGAAAGACTAAGACAGAAATACCTGGGCTGGAGGGTTACACACCCTTCCTGCCCCAGGAGCTGGACTAAGAGGATGCCTGCTTGAGGTGGTAACAGCGTGGCGGTTCTAACAGTTGCCTCCCTTCCTCCCCCTGTGACCAGCTGCACGCTGGGGTCAGCGTGGGCCAGGCCACCACTGTGGAGATCTTCCTGACGCTGCAGTTCGTGCTCTGCATCTTTGCCACATATGACGAGAGGCGGAACGGCCGCATGGGCTCTGTGGCCTTGGCGGTTGGCTTCTCCCTCACCCTAGGGCACCTCTTTGGGGTAAGCAGAAGAGGTGGGAAACTTCTTACTCAAGGATTATAGGGACCCCCAAAGTGTTACCAACCCATAAGGGTTCTTTCTTCCCTACTCCGTTTTAATCACGGGTATTATCCACCCTTTTCATTATCAATTGGCACAAAGGGATCAACTTTCTTTTAACTACTCTAATCTTCTTGACTTCAGGGTGGAAATGCACACATCATGGGTAGAACTGGGTTGTTCTTCTGGGTCCATAGGTCTGTCCCCAGACAGAATATCAGCGCCACTATCCACTGTGGAGGGTTATGAAACTGGTCCTGCCCCGTCTGCTGCTGGCTGGAGACAAGCTACCAGCTCTCACTGGCAATGTGGGCTGTAGGGAGAGGAGCTGGAAGGTCGGGGTGGGAAAGTCTCAGCATCTCTGTGTCTTTTGCAGATGTATTATACAGGTGCAGGGATGAATCCTGCCCGCTCGTTTGCTCCAGCCATCCTCACCCGGAACTTCAGCAACCACTGGGTAAGTAAGTGTACAGGGTAAGAAGAGCATAGAGCACTTTTGGCGGACTGGACTGCAGGTTGCATTCCATCAGGGCGTGTTGGCTGCTCTGCCAGCATGCAGCTCAGGAGAATGTCACGGGCCTTGGCGCACTTGCATGTGTACATTGCATTATTTTGTCAAAAAGAGAAGCTCCAGCTGGGTGTGGTGATACCTGTGGTGCCTGTAGTTCTGGCACTTGGGAGGCTGATGCAGGAGGAGTATTTGAGCCCAGAAAGTTGGAGCTAGCATGGATGCCACAGCAAGACCTCATTTCTGAAACAAACAGACGGGAGGGAGGCTCTTGCTCCCGCTGGCCTTCTCCTGTTGGCAGGGGGTGGGGGGCTTTTTAACTGAGTACCCACCGGATGCGAGAAGCTATTGGATAGTCAGCTACATTTAAGACAAAAACTTCTGGTTCCAGAAGTCAGAGTGTATGCGTCCCCTCGGCCAGCAGCACCTTAGTTCTACTTTATTAGTATCATATGTGAGTCTGACTAATAACTCATTCTTTGCCTCTGTTCATCAATTACAGAGTAATATATATATATATATATAATTTATATAATTATATAAATGTGACAGTTATCTTTATAAAGCAACTAGCACAGATTCTGGCATGGAGTAATCTTCAGTAAATAATGGTAATGCTTTTGTTCCCTTGGGCATATGCAAGATAAGCATGAAAACAGTTCAAAAGAACCTACCGAGATGTACAGCCATTTCCACAGCAGCATTAGTTACAAAAGGCAAGAGGTAGAGGCAACCCTAATTCCCCTTGCTAGATGAGTGGAAAAATCAAACGTGGCCTATGTGGACATGGAAGTTATGATATACTATAACCTAAACCTCAAGGACATTATACTAAGTGAAACTGCCTGTCACCAAAAGATAATTCTTACACAGTTCTAGTTACACGAGGCGGAATATTCACGTTCATTCAAATAAGCCAACGCGGTGGTACAAACCCACATTTCCAGCACTTGGGGGGTGGGAGGAACATCCTAGTCTGAGGTCATCCTAGGCTACACAGCAGTTCAGGGCCAGCCTGTGCTATATGACATCAAAAAGAGGCGGAGAAGGGGGTGGAGGAATGGGAAAGAGTGGAAAGAAAGAAGGAAAGAAAAAGGAAACACAAACAGGAAGTCGAAGTGTGGCTGTCAGGGGCTGGAATGGAGTCAGATAGGCAGTTTAATGGCTATATCGTTTTATATTTTACAAACTCAAAAACTCCTGGAGATGAGTTACACGACAATGTGAATATATTTGACACTATTGAGCCACGCTCTTAAAAATATAAACAAGCGCCGGGCGGTGGTGGCGCACGCCTTTAATCCCAGCACTCGGGAGGCAGAGCCAGGCGGATCTCTGTGAGTTCGAGGCCAGCCTGGGCTACCAAGTGAGTTCCAGGAAAGGCGCAAAGCTACACAGAGAAACTCTGTCTCGAAAAACCAAAAAAAAAAAAAAAAAAAGTAAACAAGCAGGCAAATCGGCTCGTGCTAGTCACAGCACTTAGTAGGACAGCCTGGGAGAATCGCCTTGACACCAGCTTGGGTTACGGAGTGAGACCCTGACTCAAAAATATACAGTTCTGCAGAGCCTGGAGTGTGTGCCGTTAATCTCAGCACTCAGAGGCAGAGGCAGGCGCATCTCTGAGTTTGAGGTCATCCTCATTTACAGAGCAAGTTCCAGGACAGCCAGGGCTACACAGAGAAACTCTGCCTCAAAAAACAAAAACAAACAAAACACAGTTCTGGGGATGTTGCTCAGTGGGTACCACACTTGCCTGACAAGCACAAAGCCAAGTTCACTCCCCATCACTGAATAAACCTGGATAGTGGTACACGTGTGTCATCCCAGCACTTGGGAGGATCAGAGGATTAGGAGTTCAAGGTCATCTTCAGTTACATAGCCAGTTTAAGGTCATCTTGAGGTCAATGAGATCCTGTATTCGGTAACAAACAAACAAAAACCAGACAATATTTAATAAGGTAAGTTTTATGTTATAAAGGGCATTTTAACCACATTTACATTTTTCTAAGAAGTATATAAGCTAGTTGAAAATAACAACAAAGAGAATATATGCTAAGGAGGTATAGGTAAAACAGACAAATAAGAAAAGAAAATGACCAGGCAGTAGTGGTGCACGCCTTAATCCCAGGCAGAGGCAGGTGGATCTCTGAGTTCGAGGCCAGCCTGGTCTACAAAGCAAGTTCCAGGACAGCCAGAGCTACACAGAGAGACCCTGTCTCTTGAAAAACTAGAAAAAAAGAAAAAAGAAAGGAAATAAATGGTTAGTGAAACAGAAGGAAATGACAATGTACAGACAGTAGAGTCTAGATAGTTTTGTTCTGTTTGTCAAGACAGGGTTTCTTTGTAGCTTTGGAGCCTATCCTAGAACTCTGTAGATCAGGCTGGCCTCAAACTCACAGAGATCCACCTGCCTCTGCCTCCCAGAGGCATGTGCCACCACCACCCAGCAAGTCTAGATATTTTTAGAAACAATATTATTTTATTTATTTTTTGTTTTATTTTTATTTATTTATTTTTTTTGTCGTTATTTGAGACCAGGTCTCACTATGTAACCTTGACGGCCTGGAACTTGCTATGTAGACTACGCTGGCCTTGAACTCTCATAGATCCACTTGCCTTTGCCTCCTTAGTGCTGATGTTAAAGGTGAGTACCATCATGCTAAGCTATATTTTATTTTTTTAAATATATATAGGTATTTTGCATGTATGTCTGTGTGCTACATGCCTGCCTGGTGCCCCCCAGTGGCCAAAACGAGCATTCAGACCCCCTGGGAACTGGAGTTACAGATGGTTGTGAGCAGCCATGTGGGGTGCTGGGAATTGATCTTTCGTCCCACGCAAGAGCAGCAGGTGCTCTTCACCAACCACTGAGCCATCTCTCCAGCTCCGTGGAGTCTAGATTGTTAAAACCAACCAACCAAGTGGGTTGGCTGCTTTGCACAGTGCAAGAGCGTGTGTTCAACACACACGTGTCCACACACAGCAGCACCGACAAAAACCTGCGTTGACGTCCACTTACCAATGCCCAACTGTGTGGGACAAGTGCTGAAGCCTGAGCATACCTTCTCTCTTCCCACAGGTGTACTGGGTGGGCCCGATCATCGGAGGGGGCCTGGGCAGCCTCCTCTATGACTTTCTCCTCTTCCCCCGGCTCAAGAGTGTTTCTGAGAGACTGTCTATCCTCAAGGGAGCCAGACCCAGTGACTCCAGTGGACAGCCCGAGGGTACAGGGGAACCTGTAGAACTGAAGACTCAGGCCCTGTGAAAGATCCAACTGGGGAGAGGAGTGGAATGCTTCTGGGTTTCAAGGAGGGGCCGAGCCAGCCCTTGGATGGAGAAAGAGACTGTGGGGAGGGGCATGTACTTCTTTATTTTTTAACTTATGTGTGTTTTTCATTTTTCTCTTTTGCCGTGTGAAATCTTTCAAGTTGCATTCACGATCTGGTTGGTGCAAACTTCCCTTCCTCCCCACCCCAGCTCCCTTCGCCGTGCGTGCGTGACTGTTCATATGAATGTGGCTGCGTGTGGCTGCGTCTGAGTTTGGGGACACGAAAGCTAGGGAAAGAAAAAGAGGTGTCGACATGTTATGCCCCTCCCCCAGCCCAGTTCGGTGACCGCAGAGAATCCAAGACCTTAAGTCTCCGGCCTTTACCCTGCTTCCCGTCAAGTGTGTGGATCTTGATTTTTGAAGGATCAGGGGAGAGGGGATTCACTCCTCTCAGGAAGCAGACAGACAGAAAGGGGGAGGCAAGGCATTCCAGGGATTGGGAGGATGGATTCAGGGAGGTGGGTGGAAGAGGAATTGGAGATTTTATTTCCAGATCACTAGGCAAATAAACCTAAAAGCTTTGAGGGAGTTGATGGGAGAATATAGCCTACTTATCTCAGGGATACTTGCCCCAGAGACTGGGGCAGAAGGAGCTCTGAGAAAAGTAAACAGGGGGCTTGAGTTGTTCTGTAAAGCCACATAAACCTGTCTACATCCACTGGCTGGGTTGCGTGTTCATTCAGAGGCCTTGGACCGGAGGGACCTTCCAACCGAAATAGGGGTTGGGTAAAAGCCTAGAGTCTAGAAAAATGAAGTGGTTTAAAAGGCCCGCCTAACAGCCCTTTGCAAATGGTACTGAAGCCCCAGAATCGATGTCTGAGACTAAAACAGGAAATCTGGTGTCTGAAGCAAATTTACAGGAGTTGGGGGGGGGGGGGGGGCGGGGGATTTATTTAGAGCAAACTGAATTCGCAAATGGCATCTTTGTGTTTTTATCACTAGCTCCGTAGTCTTTCCTTTTCGTGTGTCTTTTCACTTCTCTCCCAGCTACCCTCCCCACGCCCCAGATATCGATCTCCTCTAGCCAAATGCTTAATTCCGGAGATGATTTTTTGAGCCCTATCTTGTATTGTTGGTAAATGGCATCGTCTCAGCGGGGGGCGCAGGTGACCCTGAACCGAACAATGAATATTTATTGCAGATCGTTCTATTCTGAGCCTCCTGTATACTTCGCAAGCTTTAAAACGTATGCCTACGTAAAGACAGACAGCCCTCGCTCCAGCACACAGATCCAACTCTCCACTTCCAAATAAAACACAACTTTTCTAACCAGCCACTTAAGACTTTGGAATAGTCCACCTGACCGGAAGGGGAAGAATGTCTGTAAATTCTACTTTAATTCGACCTTGACTCTTATTATAATTCAGTAGAAAATCCAGAGCGTTTTGGTTTTTACTTTTAGCGCAGATGCCCGACTCAGATAAAACAATCCTCCCTGGTTTCCCTTCTTATCCCATCACACCAATCACCCCTCTCCCCCCGGCCGGAGTCAAGTGGACCTGCCCGCCTCCGCCCCGCCCCCGCCCCGCCCCCGCCCCGCCCCCAGCCTCGCTGGCGCAGGCGCAGACAGGTCGCTCCCAGCCGAGTGGCGGGAAAGGCTGTGGTCCCGCACCTCAGGGCCGCTGGCTCTCCGAGGCTCCGGGGGACGCGCGGAGAGCGGGTGAGTGTGTCGAGAGGACCCAGGGCTGACTCGGGCAGCTCCGAGGCTGCGGGGCAGCGTGCGACCCCGTCGCCGAGGCCGCGGTCCCGCCGCGCGGTTTAAAGGCGGGGGAGGGGCGGGGCTCCCGACGCGCACGCGCGTTCCCACGCTGCTCCCGGGCGGGCTTGCGGCGGGCCCGCCGCGGCTCCGCGCCTCTGTGCAAGCCCTGGACCTCGGGGACGGGTGGGACTGTGAGGCTAGGAGTTCCGAAAGCAGAGCAGGGGGCTCCCGGGGACTGCCACTTTGCTGTTCGCCATCCAGCCCTGACCCGGAGACACATCGGTTTGGTAGTCGTCAGGAGTTGGGATTCACAGGCTTCGGGTTTTTTGTTTTTTTTTTTAGATCTACTTATTTATGTATTTATTTTACATTGAGGTTTGCCTGCATGTACGTCTATATGAAGGTGTCAGATCCCCTGGAACTGGAGTTATAGACAGTTGTGGACTGCCATGTGGGTGCTGGGAATTGAACCTGGGTCCCTTGGAAGAGCAGCCAGTGCTCTTAACAGCTGAGCCGTCTCTCCAGCCCCCGCTTTGGGGGTTTTTATAGATTGGGTTTAACCCTCTTGTCCCCCCGCCCCCGATTTTGTAAAGCCTAAGGAGGATACGACCTCTATTGGGTATGTCAGCTAGAATAAGAGCCACGAATTAAGCTGCTTTCCAGGAGCGTCATTGGTTCTTTTGTCTTTGATGCTGTCCCTAGAAATTCTTTTGGCAAACAAAACAAAACAAAAACCCGCACGCCCGTCGTTTTACAGTTACTTTTGAGGCCCCATTTTGCTCACTAACGGTTACGCTTATCCAGGTCGGTGTCGTGCGTCGTTGACATTTTTCTCATCCCATTTGACTCCCAGTCTCAGGGAAAGGATGTGTCGTCTGCTTCCTGGTCTTTCCCACCTTAGGGTTCCTGAACTCCCTTTGCTTGGAAGTTCAGCAAACTTCTCTGCCACGTGAACTTGTCTTTGAGGACTAAGTGTGGTGGCCCTAAAATCCAGTAGTTCAATTTATTCAGCTCTCCAAGCTGGTCCCTCTCCCCCCACCCCCTTTTTTAAAAGACAGAGTCTCAGGTTCAGGCGGGATGGCTCAGTGAGTTGTGCTTGTTGCAAGCCTGAAGACCTGTGTGCAATCCTCAGAGCCCAGCGTAGTAGGAGGAGAGAACTGACTGCTGTTAATTGACATCTGATAGGAACACACACAGGTGAAACATAACCACATTCATAAAAGGACAGTCCTGGCTGGCCTGGAATTCTCTATGTAGCCCAGGCTAGCCTCAGACTCACAGATATCCACCAGCCTCTGCCTCCCTGGTCCTGGTCACTCTGCTCTTTGCATTCCTGAAGTATTGTACCTTTTTTTTTTTTTTTTATCAGTGACACTAAAGAAAGTGCATTGAGCTCCTAATAATGCAGCATGCGTGGCGCTCAGTGTTAAGGGTACAGAGAGGAGAGGAGAGTTCCTGCCCTTGAGGACTCCGGTTACAGTGACGGGGGTCCTCCCTAACCCTCCCTGTGCTCGCTGCCATAAGTCCTGATGCCTCCCAATTTCCAACCTTAACCCCACCCCCACCTTACTGTTCAGACTTGTCTACTTCAGTCTAGGAAACAGAAATTATTAAGCACCTACATTATCCCTGGGACCAAGGAGTTGACATTTTAATGCTGTTATCAGCTGAATTGAATGAGAGAAACATTTTCTTTTTTTCCCCGTCTTCCCCTAGTGAGAATTGAACTGAAGGCCCGTGGCACACCAAGCCTGACACTACATCCTAACTCCCTTTCCCTGCCTTATGTGAAGGTGGAGACTCCTGAGTTCCCCAGACTGATCTCTAATCTGAGATCCACCTGCCCTAGGCTCCCGAGTGCTGGGATTACACATGTCCCACTACAACCAGTGTGAGCAGTGATGGGAGTGGAACCCAGGGCTTCCTGCATCCTTGGCAAGCCAGCTGAACATCCCTTGAGCATTCCCCAAGAGCATTTTCAGAACACTTGCCCAAGCTCCACTCCCTGGAAGTCAGTAACCATGCTCTGAAAAATCCACGATGATTGGAAACAGTTCTTGTCCTCACGGATTCTAAGGCTAGTGAAGGGAGTCAGCCACATTGAGCAATCTGCTTTATTATGTACATAAAATGTAAATGCCATGGGATAGAAGTCTGTAGATCATCGAGGAGGAGGAGGAGGAGGAGGAGGAGATGGCTTCTGTATGGAAAAGTTAGAACTGTCATTTGGACAGTCTTAAAAGTCCATAAACTTAAATGTGGATGAGAGAATGGCAGTGGATTAAAAGGTGACCATACAAAGATCATTAAGACTATATTGTGGGCATGGGCAGAGTTTTTGGTTTTAATTGAGACAGGATCTTGTGTAGCCCAGGCTGGCCTCTACCATGCTACATGGCCAAGGATCCCTTGAACATCTGATTCTCCTGCTTCCACCTTCCAAACTCTGGGATTACAGATGTGTGAAGTGTCATGCTCATCCACTTTGTCCAGTGGTGCATGTTAACAGTGCACACAAAGGGAGGTAGATTAGTCATCTTCCAACGTCACTTCTGATTCTCCAGGAGGCAGACACCCAGATGGAGGCTGGGCTGCAAGAGGCAAGAGCAGTTTGCTTACTAGAGTTAAGAGGGAACAGGATTGGAGGCAGGGAGAGCCTCAGACTGAAAGGCAGGTCTGATATACTCAGCTAACGCTCATGGAGACTCTGGAACAAGGATTGCCTGATAGAGGAGTTTGGGACTGCCTGGGAAGAACAGGCTGATATGAATCCTAGAGGTATTTATTTTATGTGAGTGTTTATACACATTGGATTGAACTCAGAGCCTTTTCCGTGATAGACAAGCACTCTGCTATGAACTGTATTCCCAATCTTTTTCTCCTTCCTTTCTTTCATTTTGTGATTTGAGGGATTGAACCCAGAGCCTCATACATTCTAGATAAAACACCCTAAAACTGAGGTACATCCCCAGCACAAACTTGATTTCTTTCTTTTTCTTTCAAAGATTTTATTTTATTTTATTTTAAAGATTTATTTATACAGCGTTCTGTCTGCATGTACACCTGCACACCAGTAGAGGGCACCAGATCTCATTACAGATGGTTGTGAGCCACCGTGTGGTTGCTGGGAATTGAACTCAGGACCTCTGGAAGAACAGCCAGTGCTCTTAACCTCTGAGCCATCTCTCCAGCCCACAGATTTTATTTTTAAGTAGTTGCCTATGGAGACACTTGAGCTCCTGTAAGCTCCCATGTGGGTGCTGGGAATTGAACCCAGGTCCTCTGGAAGAGCAGTCAGTGTTCTTAACCATAGAGCCATCTCTCCAGCCCTAGCACAAAGTTTCTTGAAGAGAAATCTGAGCGGCCCTCTCCGTGGCTGCCACAGTACTCTTAGAGGCACAAAGACTGCAGTCTTTAACTGCATCTCCCATGTGACAGATACTGGATTACGTGCATTCAACAGTATATAAGACGGTGATTAGTAGAGGAAGAGAGAATTGTCCTGGGTATTGCGATGTAAGACAGAACATAGATGTTAGACTAAGAATTATATGCCTGTCCTGCAGGTGGTCAGGGAAAGACTATTGGAGGACTGGTATGAACTAGATCTTGAAGGTCACATGGGCTCTCTATGAGTTTGAGGCCAGCCTGGTCTACAGTAGTGAGTTCCAGCACAGCCAGAACTACATAGAGTGACTCTGTCTCCAAAACAAAACAAAGAAACCATAAATAAATAGGGTTTCTGTTTTTTTCTGTTTTTATTATTATTATTTTTTATTGTGGTGCAGTACTACGTGTTGAACATGCCAGTGCTCTTCAACAAGACAGCTCTTTCATCTTTTTTTTTTCCTGGCCAGCTTCTTAGGTCAGCCCTTGGGAAGGACAGACAGGGAAGGCCTTTGGTCTGGGGTGTGTGTCTCACCAGAGACCGGGTCCCTGGCAGTGGGCAGCAAAGAGAAGGCTCCTCTCAGTTCTGGTCATTCAGTGAGTGTTTTCCTGGCCCCTTGTATTGCTGGGCTTCGAAGCTC